AGGATGGGGAACGGGGGTTTGGGGTTTGTCGGCGCTGGAAGTGCCAGGGCGGGGGCTAGTTACCCGGGAAGTGGTGCGAGCAGTGCCCGCGGCTGTTAGCATGCTCCGCCCGCAGAGGTGAAGGAGCCTCCAGGAGCTGGGGCATCCCTCCTTCCTCTGAGGGGCTGATGCAGCCCCGGCCTCCTCTCTTACGGGGGCTGCCAGCCCCTCTGAGGCAGCCCTGGTGCTCCCTGGGGCTGCTCTGTCCCCTCGCGCGCCCACCCGCCTTAAACGCAGGCACCAGAGCAGAAGTGAAGAGCCCTCTAGGAGTCGGGTCCTCTTTCCTGCCTTCGCTCAGGGGGGTAACTTGTGAGGCCTCCATCCAAAATACGTCCCTTTTCGTTGAGATGGGACCAGATAACTAATGGTGCCAAGGATTTTCAATTTGGAGGCTTTTTGTGAACCTGGTGATAAATGGGCAGAGCTGTAGTTGAGCTTAGGATTATTTACTATAGAGGCTTTTGAAATGTATAGTGGTTATGCACTAACCGATTAACTCGCCTTCCTTCCTGGGCAGCTGTTGGCGTCTGGCGAGCAAATGTTTCCACACCACGGTGAGGTTTCTGAAGAAAACTGGAACTGAGCAGTGGTGGTTGGAGCGGCACTTGAAGGATCCCTTTGTCAAGGCAACGAAGCGGCAGCATTACCGTTGCCGAAGTGCCTTCAAATTACTAGAAATTGATGACAAGTTTCATATTCTTCGTCCAGGACTTTCTGTTCTTGACTGTGGAGCGGCGCCTGGTGCCTGGAGCCAGGTTGCTGTAGAGAGGGTCAACGCCTTAGGTACCGGTAAGTGCGTGTTTTTGGCAGGCAAGATGGGGATGATGAGTATATCTTGAAGTGTGTGAGAAAACTCAACTGCAATGGTGGCGGTGTGGGGAAGGGACGTGGGTACTGGCAGATGCCAGAGTCACTGATAGAAGCGTGAAGGTGTATGCCTACGTGGCAGTGAAAATCTTCATATGGTCCGGAGAAATCATGTTTGTGAAATAAAAACTTAACCACAAGGTGCTATGTAGGTGTAACGAAGTGTTCCGATTAACTGTGTTGTGGGGAGGATCCCTTCATCCAGTTCTGAAATCCATGTAGCCTCCAGCAGGTAACTTGGCTTTTCTGTATTTTTATTTCCCTTCTTGAAAAATGGTAGTAACCACTATGTACGGTTTAGGGGTTTTAAGCCATTAATATTTACAAGATAAGGTGTTATCATCTGTACTATTGTCCAGGATTCTGGACTGTCAGCCTTGAAAGAACAGGAGAAAACCAAGAAAAATACCCCTTCCTTATCCAAAGTAACCGAGTTTTCATGTCTTGAATGGATTAGCTTATAGCAAACCATCCATCGAGATGCACGCAGCAAACTGTCTAAGGACAAGACCAGACGTGGCAGGTGATATGTTTTTGTTTATTGACTAGCACGGAGCTCGTGTACATGCAAGTTGTTTGCAACCATTATGAGTGTTCAGTATGTCATTCATTCTTACAATCTAGGTCCTGCTGTCCCCACTGGCTTCGTCCTTGGTGTTGACCTCCTGCGGATTTCTCCTCTGGAAGGAGCAGTCTTCCTGTCGGAGGCTGACATTGCAAACCCAGGCACGCTGAGGACGATTCAGAGTCTGCTTCCTGCAGGGAAGGTGGATGTTATCTTGAGCGACGTGGCACCTAATGCGACGGGCATTAAAGAACTGGATCATGAGAAGCTGATCAATCTGTGTTTAGGCCTTCTGAATCTGTCACAAAGTATTTTAAAGCCGAAAGGAACGATGCTCTGTAAATTCTGGGATGGACATGAGTCCCGCCTTCTGCAAAACAGACTGAAGGAGCAGTTCCAAGACGTGAGAACTGTAAAGCCTCAGGCCAGCCGGAAAGACTCTGCTGAATCTTATTATTTGGCAAGACTGTACAAAGGGAAATGAAAGCTGAGAACTGCAGATTTTCAAACAGGTGATCAGACATTAATTGGAAATCTGAATTTGGCGTGTGTTTAGAGAAAAATCCCACCATTAAGACCCTGGGTAAATCTGCCACAATTCTTATGAAGTACATCATACTTTTTAAACACAAAAGTATACCAGGGTGCTGTCCTGCTGGGTTCATCCACTAATTATACAAGCGGAGACATCCAATCTAGCTTCTCACCTGTGGAGAAAACGGTTGGGAATGGAGAGAGTAATCTGAAAGGCAACCTCTGGGGCTGGAGTAATGGAAACAAAAATAAAACAGTGATTATATGAGTTTTTAATGTGTGCTTGAAAATTATTGCACTATTAATGTTGTCATATATGAGACTAACCATAAAGGCGGTTGTCAGAATGAGAGGGAACAGCAAGGGGAGTCTGAGCCAATTGATTTATTGCCTCTTCATCTTTCTTAAAAGCTGGTGCAATTTATTAGCACATGTAAAAATAGATCATGTTTTCGTGCATGTCGGAATCTGCCCCGTCACGT